CCCCCCAACTTTTAAGTAAATAATAACTAATTTTTACTATATATATATATATATATATATATAAACTCAGAACAAAAGAAAACACCTTTTTTCAAGAGCATGAGATACATTAGTGCTAACCCAGCATTTATATATTACATCATCGAATTCTATACTGTGTGTAGCGACACACTAATGTGTTGTGGCAAGTTGCTAAGGATGTTGCTAGAATTTCACCAAAGAAAGAATAATTAACAACATAAAAATAACTACCAAAAAAATATTACACGAGGCACCAGGGGTGTCACGCAAATCAAGATAAGTAGGTTAGGGTGTTGTCAGTGAAAAAAGTTTGAAAAACCACTGCTTTACATATTAACACATTAAAAATCATTAAAATATCCAATACAATTAAAAGTTTGTAACGAAAAAGTTCATAATCAGTTTACTTGAAAGAGTAATTACAACTATTTTTACATCTCCAATATATATGCTTTTGTGATACTAACTACAATTAAAATATCCACGAAAATTAACTTTGTTCATAAAGAAAAACAAAGTTCAAAATTAGCTCACTTTAAGAGTTATTGTAACTATTTTCAGGTTTCCAGTATGTATGTATGTATGTATGTATGCTTTTATGATACTGACTATAACTAAAATCAACAGATATGACAACAACACTCACTACATTAACAGATGCTCTGAACTAAATATTCTATTTACTGCACATTTGATGTGAAAAAAATTATGTGGATTTATAATTTGTTAAAATGATCATGATTGCTGATGGGACCAGTTTTACTGCATGGAACGTGCACTTAACTACTCCTAATCCGACCTGTACTTGTTATACAACAAGTCCATCTTAAAAACACTTGCATCAAATGTTCAATAAAAAATTTAGAATATTATGAAACCTTTCACTGTGAAGGAGGCATTCAAGAATTACATTTTAGTTCAGGGAAAGACCTTGTAATCCTCATATTTTCAACTTCATTATTTAGAAGAAATACAATACAGTTTTAAAATACTTAACATAAAAAGTTAAAAAGCATATGATTTAATAAAATGTCACATTCTCTTAGTACAAGTCAACTCATTAAGCCTTACAGTGTTGCAAGACTTTGTCCCATCTTTGGATCCCACAGTTTGATTGGTTGTTGGCTGTCTTTACTTCCTGATACAATCAATGCTTTTTGGGGATGCCAGTCAAGGCATTTCACATCTGCTCCATGTCCTAAAGATAAGAAATAAAATCTATTGCTATTTACAGATGTTGAAATTTATGATTTGGTTCTGTAACTGACACAACTAAATTGTTTAATTCTTTAAGCACCAACATCTGTAATATTCAATAACTGATTTCCTAACACAAATTCTGGTTATTAGTATTTTCTCTGTATATAAACATTCTTAAGACTTCTATTTGTAATTTGGAGGGGGGCAATTTGTCCTACATATTTAAGACCACATATACCATAAGTTAATAGATAAATTAAATTAGCCATTTTATATAGTGGTGTATCTTAATGTAAGTGCTGAAAATCCATCACAGCCACACAAATTTTGTATTGTACACATTTAGGGTGGTTTATTTAAGGTTTTATTTGAATATTAAGACAGCAAAAGGCATTAGGAGTTGAAACACTGTAGATTCAACTCCTAACCCTTAACTGATTTTTCCTTAGCTGCTATTTACAATTAATGTATGTGATAGCTTTAGAACTATTTATGTATATACAAATATATTACAAAAAACTCTAGAAAACCCTCTTAAGTTTTAACATTCTCACAAATAAGAACCTGTAACTGGTATACACTTTAGTAGGTTTTACAATTTCATACTCTCCATCATAAGCATTAATGGTTATTTTTATATACTATTTTCATTGTCAATAAAAATATCTTTGTATCTTGATTACGTGCATAATGTAAGTTCATACATATCCCACAGACTTCAATTAAAAGGTCCTCAACAAATAGATACAATATCTACTCATATATATTTGCATTAAGGACTCTCATAACATAAGTTTGTTTTTCTTGTCTATTATAATTTTGTGATTACATTGGATATATAATATTTTATTTTTCAGCTAATATTTTCATCTATAAAGTATTCTTGTACCTATTGGAGAAATTTAGATTTGATGACATGTAAAAATTATGAAAGTAAAATATAAAACCTGAATTTAAAAAAAATCGTACTGTTGATAATACATCGAAACATAAAGCTTCTAAAACCAACTAAATAAAGTACTTTGTAAATTGTTGTAGACTTTCAACATAAAACTTGCTGTAAATGTGTCAGTATAAAGGGTTTATAAACTTTTTCATACACTGCATTTGTTTGTATACTGAAACAAAGGAATGTCAATATATACAATTTTTTTCAAATTCAGCTACCTGCCACATATGGTATTACAAGATGCATATGATTCGTTTCCAACATCCTGTACACCACAGGGAAAATGAGCACCAGTTACCTTAGTTCTACATATCAGATTAGTATTGGTATTCTTAGACTGAACAGTACCTTATGTGCACATAGGTTAAATGACCAGGTTAGAAACCCCTAGCTGTCCCTAGTTTTGAACTACTGACCAGAGGGAAGATAGCCAGTGTGCTGCATCAACACCACAAAGGCTTATTCTGGTTTTTAAACTAAAATAATAACATTAACTCTAACCCATATAACACAATCACAGCTTAAAGTCCATTGACATCACATCATGAACCCCGGAGCTTCCAACACACAAACTACAAGGCCATGACAAGCCAAAATATATATCAGATTGGTAATGACCAAAAATGTCAATAGCAGTTTTTGAAAACATGTGAATATCATACGTTAATGTTATTAAATTTTTCAAACTGTATGGGAAAAAGTAGTGTCTCCACTGGACTTTTAAACATAAGATAAATCTAAGTTACTTTCACCATGATCAGTCTGCTTTTACATCCATGCTGTATCTAACTTTTATTTGATAATGCCTGCTGAAAAGCAACTGCGAATTAGTAATGTAAAAAAAAAAGTCTAAACACTCATATTACTGAATTTATCTTAAAATAATTTTTATGACTGCTTAAAAAATATCTATATATTTTGCAATGTCTCAGCCCTTTTGCTTAACTGTTATGTAAGGTATGTTGACAGTAATTACTTTCACAAAGATCAGGTACAATGTATAATAAAAATATTTTAATTCTTTGCTAAAATGTTTAGCAATGATATTTACGAATACAAGGTTCAATTTAAAAATTTTAGACTTTCAAAATAATATAGAAATCCAACAGCTAGCTTCACCATGAAATATTGATGATTCCAGGACTGTTGAATTTAAGATAAAGTATACAAAATCATCAAATTAACATATACCACTCAGTTTAAATTTCAACTTGTTCATATGCTTATTCAGTAATTCTACATTAAGGTCCTAATTAATTTTAACTGAAATGAATAATTTATTTTATTTTTGATTATTAACTACATTTATTTCTTTTTGAAGAAAATTAAAGAACTTAATTTCCCAAATTGGACCCACTCAAAAGTCAGAACAAAAAATGAATTAAAACTTGAAGTATTAATGAAATCTAGATCTCTGGGAAAAATTTGACTTAATAATGACAAAAGATTAATAGAATAAAATCTGTTTTCTAGTATGTTCTTCAAATGTCTGGGAAGAAGAACAGTGAAGTTTTAGGAAATAAAAAAAAAAACAGGATAAAAGAAAACACCATTCACAAGAACAATTTATATCAAAATTAGTTGGTTTGCCTGTTTTGAATCTTGCACAAAGCTACTTGAAGGCTATCTGCACTAGTTGTCCCTAATTTACAGTGACAGACTAGAGGGAATGCAGCTAATCAACACCATCCACCAACTCTTGGACTGCTCTTTTATAAAAAAAATATTGAGATTGACCGTCACATTATAATGCTCCAACAGTTGAAAGGGTGAGCGTATATTTGGTGATGGGGTTTTGAACTGTGACCCACAAATTGTGAGTCGAGACCTCTAACCACCAGGCCCAAAGTTCATTAAAAACTGTAAAATCAAATATAGGAGAGTATGAAGTTATCTTTATAAATTAGTGGTGTATTATTGCTTATACCTTAAAATCATCCAACCCCCCCAAATATGTGTAATATCGAACACATCACTTTGCTATCAACATGTTTATAAGGCCTTTAAGAAGGGGGAAAATAAAACCATGTACCATTCTGCCAGTTAGGAAATGTTAACAACTCGATTTTCCACAGATTATGCCTTTTTTTTAATAAATTGTTCCTAACTTTATTGTAACTGTACTTTATTTTATTTACAAAGTATGAGGGTTTAGCTTCTGTTACTGGCACATCTACAACTACAAGTCATTCCTACGTGTCATATTTGTATAGTTGTTGACGTTCCTTTAAAGTTAATAAATGAAATAGACAAAATTTCACCTTTGTTAATAAACAAATAGTTTTAATAACTACATTCAAAAAAGCAATTCTGAGTTGTTTGAACAATAATTCTCTAAATGTTCAAAACTGAGTAATTTTATATTGTAGTTTTCCATCTTAAGCATGCCTTTCATGTGTGATATAGCCATCATCCACGTCTTGAGATAAAAATCATAACTAAATCGTTTTGAAGCATAATGTTAAAGAACGGTATATTTCTTTTTCTCACTGTTAATGGAATCTATAGTACCACTATAACTTGTATTCAATCCTGGAAGTGTTAAAATGTGTTTTCAACACAAGTACTATGTAAAATTATTTTTCATACACACCTAATACACAAATGAGATTTAAGTATAATTCCCGCCTTTCCATCAATAGCATGTACAAAAATACTATTAAATATTTTCAGAAACATTACACCATTAAAAAGAAAATAAGTGATAATACAATCACATTTCATTGTTAAACACAAAGCCACAAAATGGATATAAAAACTCAATTTTTGGCATTCTAATTTCTCAGATTTGACACTGAGCCACTGGGAGGCCCCCACAATCCCATTGTTTAAGTCAATTTTTTGTACCAAACTAAAATCATGATCGATTTTTGTACAGTAAATCAACCTAGAAGTTAGAAACAATATGATTGGTTTAAATTAAATTAAAAATTAAATATTTTTTTTACTTAGAAAACAGTTGTTTTAGAATAAAAAATTAAATATTAGGCCAAATTTTTTGAAATAGAAAAATGTACATCTTTTGACCTAAAAATAAAAAAAATGGTTTTGTGCATCAAAATATTGTTTGTTTGTAATTAAGTACAAAGCTACACAATGGATTATCTGTGCTCTGCCCACCACCAATATCAAAACCCAGTTTCTAGCATTGTAAGCCCAAAGATCAGAATATTGAAAGTAAAATCCCCAACATAATATCACAGACTAATAATAATTGACTCCAAATTTTCAATTTTACTCCAACTACTTTGTATTGACCAATAATAATAAAGTATATTATTTAAGGTCCTATTAATCTCCGTTGAAACACTTGTGGGTATTTTCTTTAATTAAAAAAAAAGTTACATACTCATACATTTCAAACAGTTTATTTGGACTAAACCAAGTAATATTTTAAAAACAATGTTACTTTTACAGTCAATTTTTGGATGTTTTACAAGATAGAAATGGTTATTTATTAGATTGTACAATTAAGTTTCTACATTATACTAAACTATAGTTTGACCTCATGTTGTTAATCATAATGTGTGTACCGGTGACATCTTGTGCTCGGACTACCTGAAGAAACACTTTTCTTAATATTTAAACCTACGTCAATCGGCTCTTAAGGATGTTTAATGAAACTTCTGACTAATTGGCACTGGAATAGTGACAATGTATTGTAACAAGAAATATCTCTAGTGCAAATACTCTTTCAAGTAAGTTAAAGTCATAAGAATGCTTTTTGGCAACACAGTAATTAAGCTAAACCTCAATTAGCTGGTTGTAGCTCTTTATCCTCGCAATGATATCTTACCTCGTAAAATTTTCTCTTCATGGCACCTCAAAAAATCCCATATCCTCACAGTACCATCATCTGAGCATGTGGCAAACTTTGTGTCCATGGGACAAAAACTGTATGGGTGTAAAAAATTAAAGATGTTGTAGTTGGTAAAGAAAATGTGAGACCAAACACTGAATACTTTAAAAAAAAACCTTTATTATTCAACAATATCCAACATGATACACACATGGAGACACTTTAATACAGCTGTTAATATTTAAATAAAGCTCTAGGTAAATAACATTTAAATAACTTGAAAAAATAAACTGTATTTAAACAATAACAACAACAAATTAAAAAATATGTAATAACATTAAAAACAATTTACATTAAAGTAACTGACAAATTCCAAAATCCTGAGCTCGTAACTAGTGGCATCAGTTGAAAGTACTATCATCTGTATTTTGTCAAAAATGGAAATGTAGTTATTCTTCTTACTTTTTATCCTGAATTTAAAGTACCATATTAATACAGTTCATTGTTTTAATACCAAAAAAAAAAAAAGTTCAGTCAACTTCAGTGAATTTTACACTTAAGGCATTTAAATCAATATTTTCATATAGATACAAAATTTTTATATAACAATATCCAAAGTTCATGTATAATCTCTTTGTAATTACAGGCATAATGTATTGAATGGCCATAAATACTGTTGTTAAGACAGTAATAGACAAAACTCTGAAATACTGCACACATTTTCTCGTACTGATAAATACTAACCCAAGTCACTTTTGGTATGTTAGAAGGAAAACTTATACTTTCTGTTTAAAATAATTTCTGGATTTGACAGAATCAGGTCTGTATCACTATAAAAATACTTTAAAAAAATAATCTTTAATTGGCAGTTTCAAAATAAGTTTATTAATAAATTAAAGCTTTAAAACTTAAGACTTTCATTCTTTAACTAAAAAAATCATGGCACTATCATTATGCTATCCTTCAAATAGGTTATAGCCTATACAATTCAAAGAATTAAAAAATAGATAAGTTTGAAAGTAGTCTTGGAAAACTTAATACAAAACCCATAGAATACTCTTAAAGCAACATATCCTCTACCTAATTTATAAGAACAATTAATTCATTGTTGATTAAATGTAATAAACAATAGTGTAAGCTAAAAGTGAATGCTATTAATACTATAATTCTCCAGTTTCTTTCAATCCATATATCTAAAGTACAATCTAACACACACACACATATTTCTTACGGTGGTAGAAAGTAAACCACATAAATATACGGCTTATACAGTTGTCATAGTTTATATAGAAGCTAAAATTAACAAAAAGTTTAATACTTACATAGATTACAATGGTATTATGTGACAAAATATCTAGATAAAATGCAAGTTACAAAAAATCAAAGTTAGAGTTAAAACAAAGGCAAAAGCTGTGATGCAAGTTTTAACCTACATTAAAGGTTCAGAGGTTGACAATTGGAGGCTAACATTCGTTAAACAATCTAATAAACTTTTGACACAACTTAACCTGTTTTAACTCAATACAATGAAATTTTCGGTTTCTGATCTTTTGTAACTTCCATTTTATTTCAATTTTACATCTTAGCATTAACCACTAGAGCAAGTCTAATATATAAGTAATGTTCTATTTGTAAAGATAAACATCCTTTATTGTTTTGTCTACTAGTATAAAGTACAGTGGCTCAGTGAGTGTTGTTATGCTCTCAGAACATAAAATACATTTGTATCAAACTTTACCCATATATATATATATAGTGTACTTGTAGGAATGTGGTATGAAGTAGTTTGGAAAAATTAACAGTATGTGCATGAACCTAATGAACATTATATGCATATCCCTGCCATATCCAACCCACTCATCCCTTTATGACCAACATAAAACTACATTCTGTTAAATCACAGTTAAATAAAGTTTCCCCTTTAAAATGGGATAGTCAACCACATTGATAATTGCTCATCAGTTTATCAGTGCTTAAAAAAAATGGGTATAAAATGTGTAACACAGATCCAGGTCATTTGGTAAAAGACTTCTCAATGAAACACAGATCCATAAAATAAGCACTAAAGAGAGAAAAGCTAAAACGACATTTATTAAATCTCAGTTTTCTTCACTGAAAATAATATGTATAGAAAGGGCTCATTATTTCATACAAACATTCCAAGCCTTACTTCACAGATTTTCTTCCCATCTCATATGTGCATAACTCTCTTTTTTGTATTTTAAAAATGATCAAATGTTTTAAAAGAAACTATTCCACACTGCTATCTTTGCACTTCTTCTCTTTTCTCTGAAGATGCACATGCTAAAATGAACTATCTAATCAGCACCCCTGTGTTTATTGTAGCACTTTCACAATCATCTATGTAACTTTGTTTCATAGGTTTCATTTTTTTTTTAAACTTACTGCTTTTAAGTTGTGTTTTTTTAACATAGTGGGTGCTTTAAGCACTTTATCTTCCTTCATTAAGTTTGGCAGTGTTTATAACCATGAACATGTTCAGGAAAAACAACAACTGCAACTGAAAAGTGGAACATCTGAATATATCCAAAAGAAGTATGCACAAATTCACAAAAGTGGATCTATTCCTCATTTCTGGCTGGCTCTGACCCGAATAAACTGCTTTTTTTTTTCTCATTAGAACGTGTTACGTTATCTTTCTTAGGAATGTGTAACACCTGTTCATATAAAACGAGAGCATTTAGTATTGTCTATATTTATCTGAGTGTATGAATATTTTGTGTTGGAAAGGGCTAACATACCCTTCCCCAAAACAATTGTTTGATATCATTTTGCTATATACAAAACAATGTCCAAATGTGGTTCTGATATATGCCATTCCACCACAGCTGTGGCTAGGCTATGGTTGTTACGTAACTAACCAGTATGCATATTCAAAATCATTTTAATATAACACACTCAACCCTCTGTAATCTGAATTGTTATTAATGAAAATTATCCTTTATGATTATAGGTTTCAGTGACATAGAACTTTACAGATATAATTTGTTTCACTTTTAGATTGGTGTATCACTTACCCTGTATAGGTATTGGACAGAATTGGCTTTTGAATAGATGACAGGTCATTTGGTGTGTAAAAATTTTTTTTAGTCCAATGAAATCATAGATCCTGAGCTGTATAAAATTTTGTTGTTAAAACAGATTTCTACCTATATTTTGTCGTTACGATAATTGCAGTATATCGAGCTTCTAAAGTTGTGTTCATATAGGGTATTTAGAATTTCCAAGATGGCAATAAAAAACAAATGAATAGGGATCAGCCTGCAACAAGTTGTATCCCAGCCACAGTAAGCAAAGTGCAATGTCTTGTAGAAGATGAGAATCCACATACACAAAAGTCAGTGGAAAAAGCCAATCATGTAGCCAAGTTACAGCTTGAAACATAATCAGGAAGGATTTCTCACTGGAAAAGCAACACAAGTCAAGTGTACACAAGTTGCTTCCACTACATATCCATGCTTGAGAATGGCATGGGTATTCATGTGCTATTCCATATGAAAACAATGTTCAGTTACCAGATGCAGCTTCTAAGGACGTCTGCAATAGGATTGTTAAAAAGGCTGCCTGGAAAATATTCTTGTATACTATACAGATTATGAAAGGCATGCAGGAAGGCTTGACACGCTTTGGGGATGACATCTTTAAGACAGAGTTTTGAAATGGAAACTATGCTGCAGGGTTATTGTCAATATGCACAGTTATAAGATAGAGCATGACCAGATGTGGCAACATGGACTAATATATTGAGGCTCCAAGATAGTTTTACTATAACATACTCAACCTCTAAGTATAAAAAAGTGTCTTCACCATTAAAGGCAAGTTCATATGCCTTACACTGGAAGATACAAAGAAATGTCACACTAGATCAAAACTATATTTTTTGGTTTCAGAAAAAGTGCTTACAAAACTTATAAAAATCTACAGAAACATCATCCTCCATATTACAAAACATTTTCTTAAAAATTAAGCATAAATGTTGTAATCACGTAACCAAATGTGTTAATTTTTAATTAGCTATGACCGGATCTAATTGCTGTAAACTGTTAGATATGCTCTTTTTCAAGTTGAGCTAAGCAAACACAGGAAATAATACAGAACTATACAATTCTGTAATGACCACATGTGAATGACAACAACAAGTCTCAAAAGAAACACTGGTTTTCATTAATTGTTTAGTAGAAAAAGGTAAGTTCAAAAGAAGATTCAACAGTAAGGTTTATGGATCACTTTAAGTAGTTACACTATCTTTTGAAAGTAAGTTTACAAGTCTTGGCTCATACCTTAAATTACAGAAGAAAGTAAGTAGCTAAAACAATGACAAAAGTAATAAAGTGTTCTGTACTTCCTCACCTCAGTAATAAAAGAAGTGTCTTATTGATGTTCCCATTTCCCATCACATAAAGAACATTCTTAATGAATGCCAACTTTAAGATTACTGCTTAATTTGTAAATGTAACAAATTACAGAATAAGATTACTTGCCTTTAAGCCAGATTCACAACACACAGCAAAAGTTATAATACTGGGTGCTTGGTTTAAAAAGGGATGAATAGTGCTTAGAGGATGTGTATTAAAATGTTAACTTTTTTCCTTAAATTAATTTTAGGTATTTAAGTATTATTTGCAAAATGTTATTAATTAGAGCATTATTTTCTGAGATGAAGACTATATTTTATTTAAGATCAAACCCCTTAGTTATGTTCCATAGTTATCATATTTACTACCTTTAATACAGACACATTCTGTAGGTCATTAGATCATTATTTTCCCAGTTCTTTTGTTTAACTTTTATTTAATTATTTTCTTAAACTAAAGGGTTGTCTTTTTGATGTCATGATTTTTTGATTAAAGTATTTCTCTTACCTTCTTTGTTATATTTTAAAAACAGTGTGTGAATAACTTTTTTTTATATTTATTATGTTATTTAAAACAAAATATTTCACCTTAAGGAATATGAAACCTACCCTGTCTTCCAGTGGAGCCATGAAAAGTTAGAATAATCTAGTATTTTTTTAAATAGAGAATGTTAGAAACAGGTGGGAAGAGTATAATGATGACAGGGAAGAGGAACCAGCCTAGAAGTGGTAGAACCAAATAACCCAGACTAGGTTCACATTGCCACATATGATTCTTAACATTTTAATAATCTTCAGTTCAAGTTTGACATCTAACTTGGACCATTCTTTGAGATTAAAGTATACTGTTTTTGTCAATCGTATCTTTTTTTTTTCTACACTTGCTAACACTGCTGGTACTTGTTCCAATCCTTTATCTTCTGCTTTGATGTATATTCTGGAACTTCCTAAGATTGGTAAGTTACCACTTTTTAAAATTTTGTTGATGTTTAATCTGAACTTGCAGGAACCACCCTATATTAAAATTATATAATGTGGTTGACAGCACACTTTTCATAAACCAACAAACCAACTGTTTAGTTTTTTGTCAATTCAAGTTTCTCATTCCTAACTTCAGTATAAATTCTTCAAGATTTTGATATTTTCTTGAACATAACCCCATTCTGTTGCAGGATTTCCATTAACTTCTGTGGCTCTATCACCTAACATTTTAGGACGGAATATGCTCTCTCATTGCTCCAACTTCTTATAAAACCACCTTCGTTTCCCACTGAGGATTAATTCTAGCAGTACTTTTAAGATGTAACTCATCAAGCTGATATTCCTGGATTGGCCACTCCTTAGCCTTAAGTTTCTTTAGGATTGATACAAAAGACAGGCATTGTCCTCTATAAATTGAGTTTCAAATGCCCCTTCCCTTCAAAAATGGTGGTTAAATCTTGTCTATGCTGCAAGCTTTTCTATTTTTTAAACTTCCATTGGTTTCCTGTACTGTCTTTTGAAAAAAAAATCATTTGGAAGCATTTGAAATTTGGTCTTATAGATGAATGATAAAGATTAGTTATAGAGAGAGAGAGAAAAACTAATGAGGAAGCAGTGGAATGTGCAAAGACAAAAGAAAAACTGTTAGACATAAGCAGGAAACATGCTACTTTGGGCATATTTGAAGAGAATGGTAGAGATTCTGATCATGAAGTCAAATGATAAACAGCTGAAGGCAGACAAATTCACATTCATGAAGTCAAATGATAAACAGCTGAAGGCAGACAAATTCACATGACTCAAAGATATTAGAAAATGGTTTACGTGATTGTATTTCATCTTTTGACCTGGTTATTCAGGTAGCACTTTTATAATCAATTGTTACATTTGATGACAAATATTTTAAGTTGTTTTAGTATCACATTTTTATAATTTTCAACAAAGTCTAATATAGAAAGGGTAATAGGTTCAGCTTACTACTTAGGTATTTAATAAAAGCTTAAGACTTTTTTGAATATATATAATAGAGCTTATGCATGCTAAGAGTGAGTCTGGTAACAACTGTTCAACAGTTGTTTAATAATACCATTTTTGTAGGCTATTTTAACATGGGTTGTATATGTTTGTTTCATTATTGACATGCTTTTAGATGAGTGGGGTGAATTCATTTCTGGTGTCTTCTCCAATTATGAGCTTTGATGGCTATACTTCTCCAGTGTTTTCTCTTTCTCACTGTCAGCACAAACTTTCTTAATTCAAGCTTCTCATCTCCATTCCTGTATAGAAGACCTATCCGGAGTGGCTAGGTAAGGAATAGGATAGGTTCATGTATGTTGTTTCTCTTATATAGTTATGAATTATTAATAACTATACAGCTATTCCAGTGTGCATACACACATGAGAAATAGCATTAAATCTAAGCCATTGTCCTAAAAAATACCTAGATATAATCAACCGCATGCAAAAAGCAATGCTTCAACTATAACAGGACAGATGATTCACAGGAGTCAAAGAAGACTGCAACAAGTGTAGAATCACTAAAAGAGAAATTTGAAAACTAGAAAAATCAAGAATGTTCTCCTCATTGAAAACAAAAGACAAGCCAAAAATATTTGGGAACATAAATTAGCACTCTGGCAGTAACAGACTTGAATTCAACTTTTAATGATACACAGATTAGAATAGCAGCTCATGTTCAAACAGTTGCACAGTTTATGCATATAGGCTTGGAGATTTTGACCAACCGTGTAACCACTTTGTAGCCATAGAACTATAAATACTATAACTCTGAATTTACTAAGTGTATCTTCCTGACACTTGGTGAGCTTTTAGCACACAATAGAAGTCTGTTGTACTCAAAGTCAGATTTTTTAATACAATACTTTTACTAAAGATCTGTTCAATAATTTACAAAATTAGTAAGACTCTGACTAGTCTGAATGCAAGGTGATTTTAATGTTAAGAATAAAAATACTTTTTCATCTTACTATTTTCATATTTCATTTGCCTAACCCCTAGAACTTGCTAAATGAATTTATTTTTCAGTAAAACTTGTATTATTTCCTCTACCCTAACTGTAATCAGTAATGAAGGATAAAATGAAAAGGTTGAAAAATATAAAATAAATCTGAATTACACTTTTTTCTCTCTAGAATGACTGCATATTGTAAGACTGTTAAATATTACTTTTTTTTACAGCAAAATCTAAAAATTTTCAAATCTTGATTCCTTTACAGCTGTACTTGACCTTCTTATGAGTATATCAAAAGCTATTTTATCACAGTAGGACAGCTTTGTGTAAACAATTAACAGAGTTATAGCATGCACGGTCAAATTACAATCACGTCTCGTGATGTGTGCATGCAAAAATAAGAGTATCATAAGTAACTTTTTCTTGATAAAAGTTTTCTTTTATAATCTAACAAGTTATAAATCTTTACATTTTAGTTATTTTTATAATAAATAAAAATATACATAAAAAACAATAAATTTAGTACTCATGTCTGAAGTTCAAGCCTTTTGCTCCCAACTACTGAAGCACTGTAAGCCTACTTTTTTCCAACAAAGTTGGCATTACGAATTTAAATTTTTTTTATTTGCAATATGCAATTCAAAAAACAAATTATCATCATGTATGACATCCTAACACTACTATTATTTAAATGGCTTTCTAACCATATTATAAATTTATTAAAAATTTTCATTAGTTGGTTGAGACAAACACTACAAAGATAAAACGATGAACTGGTTAACAACATTACTTGAAAGACAGAGTATGATAGGAGGGTTGTGGCATCTGGAATTGACTTTCTTGTATATCTCATTACAGCAAGAAACTTGGAGAGGATATAAATTTACACTACAGTTTAGCAATATCCATAGTATGAGTGTATAATTTATGCTAAATTCAGATTACATATGGATAGAAGGAAAGTCTAAAATGGACAATTTGAAGTGCAAGTGTCATGTGATACATAAAATTTACTTAAATACCTCCTTTCGAAATTAACTGTAATGAATGGGTTAACCATATACATATGATGGGGTAAAAGTGTGCATGTCATAACCTTTTTACAGAGTTACATTCAAAACGTAATCTTCTTTTTATATATATATATCAGTATATGTCATTAACCTTGAAATCAAAACATGGTTTATAATGCAAATTTGAATATTACATAAGTGTTAATTTCCTGGGAAATATATTTCTAAGCCACAGTTATAGGGTTAAGTCTGACAAAACCACAGACAGACAGGATGATTTATGTATCTTCTACATAAACAGAAATTTTTTCTTCTTTTAGAAATTAAGTATTTTATGACTCATTACTCAGAAAAAACACTAAATGAAAAACACGATAATTATTAAATCTCTCATGAAATATACAAAACCAAGTTAAGGTTTTGATGATTAATGCACTGAAATCCCAAAGCTATCATCAGTATATTCAAATAGTAACCTACCAGTGGCTGAGGAAATACTAACAACAAGCAGTACAGTTTGTGCTTAATAAATATACCTTCAGTCAGTGTACAAAATATTCCTTACTGTATAAAATATTGGTAAAAACAAAAATACCTTACAAACTTATATACATATATTTATTTCAACACTAAAACTGGATAAAGATATGCATTCCTTAGGTTTGGAATCCTTTACACTTATTTCTGTGTATATTTAATAAGATAAGGAGGGTAAATAGTTTTTTAAGTTTAAAAAACTTACATGACTGTATAGATAAATTATAACAACAAATGTGAAGTCTTAAAAATAAATTCATACATTTCTGAAACCTACTCTCATGACTTTATTGTATCAAAAACATCTAAGAAAAATCTTATTTTCACTGAATGCACCAACTCTTATTTGTGGGCAGATTGGTTTTATTTCCGAGATGTTTGAAACTGTTCGTAGAAGTAGTTAATATGAACTCCTGTTATTTCTCAGATTTATAGTTGTGTTTTAAGAAATGTCAACATTTTATTTTTTTATCTAATATTGTTTCAGTGGCATGAGATATGAAATTATGATACAGACCATGAAACACTATACAAATCCTCAAACACCAACACCAAAAAATGAAGTTATGAAACATAAGGGTAAAAGATAAAACTGAGAGGAGACAGAAACCATGGTCCGTTAGTTCACTGTTACCAGCTGTCTGATAATGGACTATAAATGGCCTTGGGGTCCAGGATTCCCACCTTATTCCACGTAAAGGTTCCTTGTGAGCTTGGAACATTTTGACATTATTCATGTTGCTCTGCCAGTATTTGACGTAGCCTGCATGGTCTCCTGTGACCATCCAAACATCACTGTGACTCCACATCATACACCTCACTGGAGAGTCATGAGCCTGTTATGAGGAGCAGAAAAACATGAAACAAAACTATTTAGTAAACAGCTTCATATATATTTTTAATATATTTTTTTCTTTTGAAAATACACTGTTAAAAGAAAAACAAAAATAAAAATGCAGTGGGCAACATTAATATGGAACAAATCTAACATACTACAGGCTTGGTATGGCAGGTAGTTCACATAAGCTAATGAAAGAAAACAAGATCCAGGACAAAACTATCACTTTTAAGGACTTAATTTAATTATTTTAACATAACATGAACTCCACTAAAATAAATAACTAATGGTTTAATATATTTTATAAATAAATACCTGCAGTAAAAGCTGTGAAAATGTTCTAATAATAGCAGTAACACCTCAGTTACCAAAAATCCAAAAAAAAACAAAGAAAAAAGATTGAATTAAGTTATTAATACAAATTCTAAGTGATTGACTGCATTACTAAACAAAGCATAAGGAAATTCTTTGTCATTTACAGTCCCCTCCCTTTAGTGTACTTCAATTTTTCTGAACTTCTGTTTAATAACAAGTGATAAAGCCTTGTGTTTTTCACCCAAATACTGTGCTTTGGCCAAGAGCTGTAACCAAAAGAAAATAATATTTAACAAAGATATTTTTTCAACTTGCCAACAGGACAAGTTAACTGAACATATAACATGTTACTGCCTTAGCCACACAAACAAAGCAGATTCACATACACATTGTCACTGTGAACACTCTCACACTGTTGTGCACATTACAAATTTGCATATCTCATGGTTTTACAACACAATTACATTTCATTCTTTTAAACATTTTGTCAGTTTATTCTCCAATTTCAACTAACAAAGAACTGGAAACAATGGGCCAATAAGTCCTTTATATTTCAATGTGGTTTACAGCCAAAATGTTTTCTTGTATGATAATGCAAATCAATGTTTAACCCTATCACCAAAGATATCCTTTACTGCACATGACACAAGGTTTTGGTGTCTTACATTCAAAATTTTATTAAACGACTTTTTATTTATGTTATACCAATTAGAATAGCATAAAATCTTAGCTAATAATCCATATTTTAATGGTATACAAGTTTTATGTTCTTTATTCTATAAGGTAATATTTAAAAAAATCCCGAATTTCCACTAGTGTGACATTTTTTTAGCAGTCATCATCCCTATTTTATCCACAACCCCTCAAAAAAGTATGAAATTAAACATAAATTACCCTCTATAAAATCGTTATTGCTGAGACAAACCACAATTTTTATAGTCTATTGAATTATAGCTATTGAACAGAAAATCAAACCCCCTCCTGTCATATCCTCTCTTTCAGAATTCATTGATAGTTCTCTCTTACATTTAATTATATATATATTACCTATAACCAACAGAAATTCAAGGTTTTCATCTATCAAATGACATATTGTATTACATTATGTACAGAACAGTTAGATGTCAATTTCACTCAGAGTACCAACATCGTTCCTGTGAGAAAGCTCACAACTAGCTTGGATGAATTTGTTATGACTCTTGTTGCATAGTTAGAAAGCCAGAACAATTTTGAGAGGTAAGTGAATTTGTCTACTTTTGCATTAAAATAATTACTATAAAAATTTTTTCTTAACTGTCCTCAATAATCAAGAGCAAGAAAAAAGAAGATTTTAAAAATAGGGATCTTTTTAGGTTTGTTAAGATTAGGTAAAATAAGTAATAATAATAATAATATAATTAAAATGGTTCAGGAGTCACAGATGCAAGCAGCTTGTGGGTAATGTAATTCAATAATGTAACGTGAGCTGCACGTTTCCCCAAGTTATTTACAACTTATAATGGCACAGATAGTGGTTAGACACATTTCAAAAGGCAGTAAAACAATAATATTTAATTATAAGTATATGCATACTGTTACGAACTTAGAGCTACTTAAGAAAAACAAATGTAGTTTCATGTTACAATCTGAAGTCATTCTAGAAAGAAATAAAGTGCAATTTAGGTTTATTTCGATTTTTTTTGGTTATTACAAATTCCGTCAAATTGAATGATCACGTTTTGAGATAGAGTAAAGAAAATTACAGATAAACTATAAAGTTTTAGTGTAAAAAACGTTTGAAATGCGTTTAAGAGGTTTTAGGGATTACGAAAAGGAAATTTGAGATTTTTGTGATGAGGAAAAGTATTTTTCATTTTAACATGAAAATTACTTTTTACATAGACTATTCAAAACAAATAATCAATATATTCATGGACAAATATTTATTTTATTAAAAATACTTCACTAATACAAGAAAAGACTTATAATACTAACTGAAAGACTGCCAAATTTTGTGAAAATATACACACTATATTGAAAGTTAGAAGTATTAAATCTATAAAGACTTTAAATGAGTACAAAGATGTCACATGGTCTGTTAAATTGACCAAGCCTGTGTTGATAGAGTTAAACATTTTTAAAACAATAATTGTTCAGAATAATTTTATATGTTGCCAAAGTTCTAGCGTGTTTACGTCATTACAGCATAAAATGATTACAGAGTAAAACCACGAACCAATTTTTCTAAAAATTCATTTTATGTGTGAAAGAAAAAATGCTAAGAACACAAAGAAGAAAAAAAAAAGGATTCTTCCCAAAATGTCACTAAAATTTCCAAGCCTAGATCAATCACTGTATAAATAATAGGTAACCTAATCAGGTACAAGCTGATGGGCTGTCATTAATGGCAAATATTTGACTATTCCAAGCATGGCACTTAGGTTTATAATACTCATTCTATTATATTGTTATTGTTTGAATTTGCATTTCTTTCTCTCCCTTTTTAACTAATTTTGGACAATAACTGGTGAATTTGATAATTATTTTGAAGCGTTTATACTGAAAATGGAATAAAGAAAATTCTGAAACATCCATATTCTTTAGCTCATAAAAAAAAAAATGTATAATTTCAAGTTCCCACTAATTAAGTCTCGTGCTTATTTTACAATATAATTTCAAAAACAGTCATGTGACACCCCTATTCACTTGCAGCTAGGGATTCATAGTTCAGAGCCTGTTATTGATTGGTGTTGTTGTATTTCATAGAGACTATTTTTGGTGAAATGGATAAACACAATGATATGACTTGTTGTGGGTGCAATTATGTCACACTTTCAGCCTTGAAAAATTAGTTTACAAAATTCCATGACTTCCCAGGATTTCATGAATTGTGTGAAAAGGGAAAAATTATTGAACATGCTTGCCCACCTAGATATCCAACTCAACTTCAACAATCTTGTTTCACAATTTTTGTTTGGCAAAATTCCAGCCGGGAGCTTGACTCTAATTTGTCAAGCCCCTGCTGTAGAAAACGGGTGAATCATCTGAACATACCCAAACCAACATAACTTAGGTAACTAGGTATTTATTCTTTCATGTTTTATTTAATTATACGTATTTACTGGTTATATTCTTTTTCATCATTCATCAAATTTTTCTGTCCAAAATTTAAAATAAGGGCTTAAACCACCCTCGAGAAGAACATCCCTAACAATCTGCATACAGTAAAAACTCTCACCCCATCTCCTTTTATATTAACTCCATTTCATAAATTCTCACATGTGAATCATTAGATACCTGTGTTTTTTGTAAGTAACAAAATAACCTTATATAAAATGAAAATAAATGGTAAGAATGAAATAAACTTAAATCGAGAAAAACGAAAATAAATAAAAGGATAAAAAGAAACAATAATCGTACCTTGTATTCTTGTGTTCATTACGCTCAAAAATGTTTAAATGTACTGCTACTTAGTATCATGACAAATTTTACAGTGGAAATGTTTCTTTTAAGCAATTAAACATATCTACTTGAAAGCTGATAACAAAGTATCCTTATCTATTAAACTTTTATAAGGTTCTATGTGTAGATAATCAAATTTAAAATGTGTTTTTCTTGTGTATGTAATAAATATAAAATATTCTATGGATAAAACAAGATACCAAAACTAGCTGAAAATAAAATGGAAAAAAGATTTTCAGAGGAAGCTATGAATTATTAAAGTTTATTTTTCCTTAATAGTTGTGCATTATCTTTGATGATTGGCAATTGATAGGTAAGGAACTCTCTCTGAAAATGTTTTTTTTTCTTGAAAGAGAACTGTTTTATTATCATAATTGGTGATTGGAGACAATAAAACATTTTGCTGAGAAATAAAGGTGTTCCTGATGGTTTTTAATGATAATCCAAACTTTAATGTGTTATTGGCAGAAAGCTCAACTGCCATAATTGAGGTCCAATATAAACCTTTTCAAAACCAAGGCTACCTGTCAAAGAAGTTGGTTTTCATTCTTTGTTCATGCATTTGGCACTGACCCAGTTAAACGCAAATCAAACTGGCAATTAACCCAGCCTAGAATACAAACCGATTTTATAAGGATGAGTTTAAGCATAAACCTGTTCATATATTGTTTGTTCACTCTTTGCTCAGGTAGCTCTTCAACACAAAAAAGTTAGTAAAATAGCATAATTCTAATACTTTCCAGCACTTCACCTAACTTTTTCTATTTTACTTCCCATATTACACAATAAATTCTTTAATAAATAACTTCTATTGCCCATAATAATACAAATTAAATTATACTGCACTTAAGATGGTATTTTCTTCAAAGGCAAAAGATATAATTTGGGAGGGTACATTTGTTTAGACAGGTAAAAATTTACCTTCATCCATCATACATGAGAGGTGATTTTTAAAGTTAATGTTGAGTCCTGAACTGTCCTACCCATGCAACATATGAACAACCTGATGCAATTATAATCACAATATACCAAAGAACAGTTATTTTAGTTTGTTAAATAGTTACTGGTCATTTGATGCTAAGCCTTACTGATACATTCCTGTTGAATAAACAGTACAGAATTACACAAGTTTATAAAAGCATACAATACAAACAAATCACATGTTATTTGCAATGTCTGATCACAGATGTCAGTTCAGATTAAAAAAAAAAAAAGAGTAGGTATATATATATATATTCTGTTCTTAAGTAACAGGTTCTCCAACCACTAACTTGACACGAGTTATTTCTAAAGTTTTATCAGACTTTATAAGTTATGCATTGCTGAAACTTGTAGTTTAAGTTAAATAGCCACTGTCTACTATAAACATCAATACCTGAAGAATAGTTTCAAAGTTGAAAGTTAAGCCATTCCAGAGCGTGAACTCACCACTGGAGGCACCTGTGACCAAACGCCGTCCTTCTGGAGTCCACTGCAAAACAAAAAGCAGCATAAATAATGAAAAGCTGTCAATGATAAGTACTATATACTTCCATTCTCAACACTCCAAAAACTCTCCAAATCTTATACACATCAAATACCAGTTCATTCTCATATAAATAAGAGATTTAAATTAGTAGTCAAATAAATCATAATTTAAAAAAAAACTATAAATTTTACAGTCAATATTTCTTGAAAGATTAAAAAATTTGAGTAGCCACAAGAGATAAATAGAAGTGAAAAATAATAACTGACTAAAAGCAAAGTGTAAAGGATTGGACATAGTTTCTTTTATTCACAAAAACACTAAGCAAAACTATCCCATCACATGGCCCATAAAGCATGGCAAAAGAATGTTTGAAAACATCTGCGAACATGAAGCTTAATATGAAATAAAAAGACATTTAAAAAAGGAAAATAGAGAGGGGGGGGGGTACAACATCTGGATGTGTACAAGAAAAAACCCTTCAATCCCTTCACCTTCTCAAAAGAAAATTATATAACATACTTCTTATCCCTATGTGGATTGGTTCAGTCCAGTGGACACATTAATGAAAAATTAATGTGTACTATAATTCCTAATTTACTAAGTGTATCTTCATGAAATTTGATAAGCTTTTAGTAAACATTAAAAGTATGCTTACATTAAAAAAATAATTTTTAATAAAGTATTTTTGCTGAAGATTTGTCTATGATTTTACTAAGCCAGTCTGACTCAGACTCTTTAACTGTCTGTAGATTCAAATTAATTATCTTTACAATTGTAACTGTTAACCTTTTAACACCTGTTTTATTTTTATGTTATGGTTTTATTGCCAGAATTTGTACCGATTAAGCAGTTTATCCCTCCATGAAAAGCAATAAATCACAGCAGAAACCTATTACCTGTTTCTTGAAAACACCACAAGCTGAGTTCGACCTGTGTTATCTCTTCACTCATAGAATAATTGGGCTGGGTCTTACTTTTTTTTTTTCACTAAGTTGGTTGCTCATATAAACATTCATGTAACTTTTAAATAAGCATCTTAAAATTATCAGTTGCTGGAATAGATTTATCTGGCTTTCTAAGTATGCTATAAATAGGTTAAAAATTCCTACTTGGTGTTTGGAGTAAGATAATAGCCTTTGCAACAAAGAAAAATACTGTTGACCATCTGTGTGCACCCCCCAAAAATAAATAATTATATAACAAAAGAGGAGAATTTGCTCTTCCTATTAGTCATAAGTATGTCCATTAGCCATGTAAAGGCGACACTTGGACCAGCCATACTTAAATCTTATATATAACCCTGAAAAGTTTGAGACATACACAAAAATATCAGGCTCACATGCAAAGGGTTAAAAGAAGTGAGGAAAAGACAAAATAAAAGATGACTGGAATGCAGAAATATATTTATAAAACTTCATAGAAAAACAGAAATTGAAGAAAAATTAAGAAATTAAAAGACTGAATAAATCCAGGTGAATATCAAGAAATACGTGAATTTTATATAGCAACAACAGTGGAAACAAAAGCAAGAATTTTGGAAATAATAAACCAAGTACGGAAAAATACAGTGTACCCATAAAATGGAGAAAATGTGAAATTTATCCAATATACAAATCAAGAGAGAGAGAAAAATAAACTACAGAGAAATAAAGCTACCGATTACATTACATAAAACTCAAACAAGTATAGAAGACTAAAGATAATACAAGACACACACACACACACACACACACACATATATATATATATATATATATATATATATATATATATATATATATATTAGAGAGA